GTGTGTGTGTGTGTGTGTGTGTGTGTGTGTGTGTGTGTGTGTGTGTGAGGGCGTTTTTGTGAGGTTTGATCTATTTTTCATCTTCAAACATCTATATTTATTTTCATTAACTCTCCACTGCCTTTTTCTTTGTATGTTATTCTCTTGCATCCCGTTTGACATTTTGCTCCCATTTGACCCAATTGAGTTTTGAGTGCTGTAAACACTTTTTTTAAAGCTCAAACAATATCTAAGAGTGTTCGAGCTTTCTCGTCTCCAAGTCTTTAGGTCTACTTGGTGTTTTTGTCTGCAATTTGAAAAGCGATCGAAAATAAAGCTTATACGGGGTGCCCACTACTGCTGGATCGGGCCGATCGCCCGACTCGATCGCCTGAAACTGAAAACAAACATGTTTGTTTTTGAGGCGATCGGGTCTGGCGATCGGCCCGATCGGCCGATCCCATCCGTAGCGGGCACCCGTATTATAAGCAATGTTGCTTTACTTTTGCTTGAAGTTCAAAGCCTTCGAACAAAGAGACGTCATGTTAATATACCTCGATGACGACTGGAACAGTAAAAAAAATTAATAAACAAAACATTTTTTTTTTTAAATGATCACCCTTCAAGATCATTCGTCGCCCTGTCGATGAGAACGACTGCACATTTCTGTTTCTGACGAATTTATGACAACTTTTCCATTTTATGATATGCCAGACAAGGACTTTTCTGAATTTTGACTAATAGTGCACCAAAAACGTTAGAAAAAAGGCAAAAAAACTGCTGGCCGCCAGGGTGCTTCGCGATTACTTCATTGGTCAATTAGCATTTAATTTGCTTCTCCTGTTTAATTTATTTCTCTGAAACTATCTGGTCTTATCAAAAGGGTGTCGATATGGAACGCCGGATCTGAATGTGAATAAGATCAATAATACTTTAATTGTCACCGTTGGGACACTCTATTCGACAATTGTGCTATGTACGGTAGCTTCTTTTTAAATACGAACTAGTAGACCCGTATATCAAACCGTAATCCTTACACTTCCTCTGCATTATGACAGGGGGATCATTACAACATAACCTTAAAAAAAACACTTACAAAATGAGTACTATGCTAAGCCAAGCGTCATTTAATTGTTGGGTGTCTGAGAATGTAAAAAAATGAGTGCAATAGTACTTCAACCCCCCACCCCCCCCTAAAAAAAGTTTTAAAAATAAAAAGCCGCCCCAAAACAAACATTTAAAAAACAACACTGTCATCCTTACATTTCCCCAAAGTTGTGACATACTATAAACGAGTGTATCTATACATTTCCCCAAAGTTGTGACATACTATAAACGAGTGTCTTTTTTCATCCGCCAGGTCCTGTTTTGTGCGAAGAAATCGCCTTACTCAGCCCCAGTCTGCGGTGAAGACGGCCGCGCCGGAATCTGTGAGAGCATCTCACGGCGCCTCCGGCCTCTGTCCCCGGCTATTGATCCCCGTCCTCCTGGTAAGCGGTCTGACATTTCTTTTGATCTTTCGATAAGCCCGGTGATTTTTGCACAATCATCTTTGGCTTGTCTCTCAATCACCTGATGTCCCACTTGAACCTCCGTACAAATTCGCTTTCTTTTTTTTTCATGATTTTTTTCTTGTTTTATTTCTTTGTTGTTTGCGTACCTTTCTTCCACCCCTATCCTCCTTCCATTCACTTCCCGTCGCAAATCCTGTTTGCTTTGAACCCCTTCTCTTTTACCATCAGTTTCTCCATTTTTCTCTTTAGTTTTTTTCACTTTTTCAATTATTTCGCTCCATGCTTGTCACTCGTTCAACATCAGAATAAAAACGGAGAGCGTGCCCCTGGATTTTATTTTCCTCGGGAAAGGGGGTGGCGGGGGTATGCCTTCCTTGTACAGCCCCCGATTGTTCCAAATAGATGAAATTACTACACAATTAGACAATGCAATATAGTTCGAATAAAAATTATTTTTCTCTCAGTGTCGCGAGAAATGACCTTGGCAACTAACGAGGGAGGGGTTTATGACAGCGACACAACCTGTCGCGGGACAGAGAGTGGTGGGCCCTCGTTGTGCGTGTTGGGTCAAGGACGTTCTCTCGACTTTTGCTGTTGTTTGCAGAGTAAGATTTACTTGTTTGAAGTCAAAATGTACATGAATATACTCAGCTTCTACTCCGGACCTTACTATTTTATTTCGACGATCCATTCATGGCAAAACTATCATTCGACAAGATTCCAATCTTTCGACTACTATACAGTGACATCGGTTGCATACAGCTTTAACAAGTCATGGCTTTACAATTACAAATTTCTATCTGCTAGCCTGCTCAGTATCTAGTTTTGAGAAATTTGACATCAAACTTGCTTAATTTCACAACATTTCAAGCTTTTCCGAACGCAATGTTTTAAATATTATTCTAAGGATTGCAAATATTCGTACAATTTATGATAGAGCAGATAAAACAGTGGATTTCTGACCGTATGGTCTTAGTAACTAAAAGGGATCAAAAATATAATATCAGGAAAATTCCCTGTAATTTTAAGGTAGCAATGTTTTGTGTAATAAGTACAACATTCCCCATCTCTGAGTGACGTGGAGGTATTAAAATTTCCAAACGCGGCGTAAAGTGAGAACATCTGTTTCCCACACAATGTCTTCACATTACTTTTATAACCACGGGAACGTTCAACCCAATGACTGAATAGCGTTTGACAGTTTGTCAACGATCTCCATTGATAAAAAAGCCTCATTGAACTGATTGTTATAGATAACATCTGTTCTAAAATATCATCGATGCCTACAAAATAAATACGCTTGTCATAACGTAGAACCGTAGAGTTTGTTACCTTTTCTATGCCTTTGAAAAGGATTTAGGTGATAAAAAAATCAATTATTTTCCGAACGTGGCGTCGGTGGCCTTGTGGTTAGACAACCGGACTCGTAATCGTGAGGTTGCGGGTTCGGGGGTTCAAGCCGCGGGCCTGACGTTGCGTCCTTGGGAGATATAGAGAAGGCATTGCACTTTACACGAATTTCCCTACTTCACCCTAGTCGGAATGGGCACCCGGCCATAGGCAGAGAAAGATCGTGTCAGTATGTTAGTGTTTTAGCTCCTACAAACGGCTGCGTGCACTGTATGCTTCCCAGGAAGCTGAGGTTGTTTCAGAATGCTCTCAGGTCTTCTGTGGTAATAGTATAGATTTTGAAACTCATAGAGCTTGCTATTGACCTGGGATTTGCGCAATCCAAATGTTATCTATCTATCTATCTATCTGTCTATCTATCTAGCTATCTATCTATCTATCTATCTATCTATCTATCTATCTATCTATCTATCGATCTATCGATCTATCGATCTATCGATCTATCTATCTATCTATCTATCTATCTATCTATCTATGTATCTATCTATCTATTATTATTATTATTATTATTATAATTATTATTATTATTATTATTATTATTATTGTTATTATTATAATAATAATAATAATAATAATTATTATTATTATTATTGTTATTATTATTACTATTATTTTTATAACAATATTTGAATTGCAAGTCGATTTGAAAGCGTCCATGAACTATTAGCCTGCTCTGTTGAAAAATAAGGCAGTGTATTTTTATGTGAGGGTCGCCCTCCCTCAAAAATTATTTTAAAATCACCACAATAGACAATTTAAGAGGTGGGTTTCGAGTTTGCCGTCTGACGGTCGACCTATGATGAAACAGTATACAACGTCCATTGGAAAGACTAAGATACTCCTTTCGAAAAAACGATTGTCATAGGGCAAACGAAATCTACGTTTTTCTATAAGAGACAGAAACGCGCCTAACAGCTAAATCAAAACACTGGTGAACAATGAGATGAAAGAAACAGATAAACCAAGCAAGAGACTAAACGAAAGGTTGTCGTATTAATGTTTAGCACCCTCATTTCTTCAAATATGGCCATTTGGGTGGCAGGCTGCTAGGACCCTGTCCATCAGGTCCACAAAGTGCTGGGTCGAGTACAACGTCTCCGGAGACAGTTGGATAAATGACCCCCTCCTCCGCACACACACACACACACACACACACACACACACACACACACACACACACACACACACACACACACACACACGTACACACACGTACACACCAACTCGGAAATTGAACTGATGTATTTTGCGTGCTAGGGCGAAGAACCTAACCATCGCACCATCTCTCACAAAGTCGTAATAGTCCCCGTTTGAAAGGATATTGGACAATATTACGTTATTTCTTGATCTTTTAATTTTAAAAAGTCACATTTTATTTTTAACACCCTCTTTATTTCAATACATGTATTCATCTTAAAAACAAAAACAATGCGATATCCAGACTTCAATATTATTATGATACACGACCTAAGGATTTATCATAATGAAACAAATCGACCCTTGGTTGGTGACAAAGAAAAAAAAAATGATGATGATGATGATGATGATGATGATGACGATGATGATGATGACGAAGATGATGATGATGATGATGATGATGATGATGATGATGATGATGATGATGATGAAAAGCACGCCTTGACCTGACCACGTCAGAACCAAAAACAAGCAGACACTTGCGCAATACAATGTCAGTCTTGTAACCACCAAGAGGGGGTCAGAAATAGACATAACAACTACCATCAATATCAGTGAAGTGATCAGAAAATGAAGAGTTCTGGCGAGTACAAAAGAAAGGCAAGTGGTCCTGGTAACCTCTTGAGATCAGTCGCCCTGTCCTTGCGCTATGGCAAAGAAGGCCAACTCGTCCCTCTTAACTAAAACATGATTAAAACATTAACTTGTCTGTTACAGAGAACAACCCTTTGTTGCCGTTATATCGTGACTCCTAATCAGTCTGAGTAGCTCATTCTTCCTTCCGCTCACAGCTACCATTTTGGTTACCGTTTTGGGATACCGTTTTGGGCTACCGCCGTTTTGGGCTACCATTCTGGGCTGCCATTGTTGGTGTCAAAACAATTTCTCTTAGCTCATTTCTGTCTTCAAAACGAGGGAGTCTCGAACCTTAAACCACCTGCTGAGAGACCGAATCTTCCCGGAGACTTTGGGTTCGACGTGACTCTTAATTACTTTTCGTCGATCGCTGAGTCATCATGTCTCCATCCCCGGGTACAGACGCGATCAGCACTAGAGGGCCCTGCTCTGATCGGCTGACGTCACAGGTACAATGGCGAGCGGTGCTCTCCCCTGGTTTCCCATTCCCGTAGACTTCCGGTGTGGAAACTGCTGATGTCTCCGAGGGTAAAGATAAATAATGGAAGACGGCGTAGGGGGCAGAAACAAATATTGAGGTCAGTAGAGACACTGCCACTTAAGAATGGTGATAATGATGATGGTGGTGAGGGTGGTGGTGACAATTATGGTGATGATTATAGTGATTTATTATGTCGATTATTGAACTAGCAGTTGGTATTGCTTCCTAGGTTTCTTACTCATTAGTCACCTATTCATGTTTTTACTTTTTTAAATGAGAAAATAAGCATTTCAATTTACTTGAGCTTACCAACAGAGATCTCCTGGCTGGGTTATCGTGTACTGGATAGAGGACTAAACGGGAAAAGGAGGAGGAAAGACAGGGGATGGAGCGGCAAAGCGGTGTGGTGAGATGGCAAATGAGTTGTGAGTGGGCGAAAAAGGGGGAGATGAAGCGGTGAAATGGGAGGGGGGATCATGGGGAGACTGATATGGAGACAGAAGACGGCGTTGGCGGGGTTTTACCAAACACCATCACAGCAACAGGAAATGTAACACATCGGATAGTGAAATAGCATGTACCGTGTGACCAGTTCTATTTCGAGTACTTTTTCTTTTGCCCTTACTCTTCCCAGGGTGCAATC